TTTTTAAAAATAAATACTTCATTTGGTTTGCAAATGACATTTACAAATTCAACTAAAGAGCATTTCTCAGCTTTGACAAAATTAAATATGCAAATTAGAAATACATATTTTTAAAAATTTAAAGGGAAAAAAAATACCTGAATCCAATTAGCTTATTACCTTAAAAAATATCCAAGAGCGTGTAATGTAAGGTTTCATGTCTCTAAAGTGCCTTCTCGTTTCTCAAACTGTCTTCATTATTGCTTAAAATCCTTTAAGATTACATCTACAGTTTGGTCTAATAATTAAACAGAAAAGCCAACTTTTTTCCAGGTCAAATGGTTGACTATTTAAGACATGCTTATACTTTCTTTAAGTGCTTTCAAGAGTGTAACAGTTACTGTTGATCTGAAAATAACCACAAATTGTCAACATCCTGATCCACATTCCTGAAGATGCTTGAATCATTAGTAATAGTAAGAATTGAGGGGCGAAAAAGAGCCTATGATTCAAAATGTTTGCACAGAATTCACTTCGTCCAGCAGCACAGAAAAGTTACTTGAGAGTCAACACTTGAGCCTTAAAACACATCATAGTTGGTGACCTGAACTGATTTACCATTTATGAAAAGAATGGTCCCTAATTAGTTTTAAAGTAAAAATCTCTGAGAAATTGAGAAGGACTGGAACCATGCCTCTCCTCAACCTTCTTAAAATATAAAGTAGAATAAAAAAAGAAATGTATTTTCCATCTCTTTTATGGATTTTCCCTCTTTGCCCAAGTGATGAGGTGGTGCTGACATTAACAAGAGGCAGTCACAACACTGTGTCTCTCTTGGTCACAGCAGAGCTCCCTGTCCAAAGGGCTGGGGGATGGAGCACAGGGTGTGAGAGGAAGGAGTGAGGACTCAGGGGGACGGACTTTCAGGTGTCTGTGGGGGAAAGGGGTGGAGAAAGCTGGGTCCTGGAGAAACTGTAAAAGTAAAGTGAGGAAAAAATCGCTGTGGGGTGTGAAGGAAGGGGAGGCTGATGCAGAAGTATTGAAAGGAGAAAAGTGAAATGAAGCTTGATGCCAAAGTGACTTTTAAACAGGCATAGAGGAAACAGGAAGGTCCATGGACAACCGACCCCATCGAAATGAATCTGAAATTCATTGGAGTTATTTCAACAAGCACAGGCCAGTCTCACTGGGGTACCTGCTTTTCCAGAACATTGTCAGGCACGGACCAATATGAGATACTGGGCACTCCCATCCCACTGCCCTCATACATATTATGCCCTGAGTTTCCACTGAAAGGCTGCCCATGATACAACCATGGCAACGGTCACCAGCTCCCTAACAATGCATTATATCAGCAAAACATTGCACCCTGGCCTCGTTCAAATTTTCCTTCTCCCCTGTCTCCTGTTTTTCTCCATCATCCCATTGCTTGTAATCTCACAAGGCAAAATGAAGACACATAACTGCAGGGATCAAATTAATTTTAGGAAGCAGGGTCGAGGGTGTTGATAAGAAAATTAAACTCTAAAGGACTTGAAATCATTTACATTTCTGTTAGGCCTGATTCCTATTAGGATGCTGACTGACTTCACTTAAGGTTCTGGGCATTCAGGCCAGTCCTGTGTTTTTCCAGGCCAAAGCACGATCCCCTAAATCAAAGTCCAGGGGCACTCTGCTTCCACGCTAGTCTAAATTAAAATTCAATGAAAGGAAAAGACTATGATGAATCGATGACACGTTTCCTCCAAAGAATCTTAAAAATTATTCAATTTCTAACTTTAAAAGGTTCTGCCTTTTTAAGACTATCTTCAATTGTTTCTTTAAAGGGAAGGCCTTTGTTTCTTAATGCTTATATTCTTCAAAGATTATACATCCTACTAACAGTAGGGTCATATTATTTGCATCTTGAGAAACTGAAGAATTGCAGAATTGTAAAATTAATATTGGGCATAGACCTATCCCTTTGGTAGATCCCCAAATCCTATGTGTGTCACTCTGGGCAGAGTGAATTGTCCCTAGACTTTCCCCCTCACCCACTGATTTGTTTCCAAAGGAAATGAACATCTTTAGAGGATTAAGCAGAGGGCAATCTCAGTGGGTTGACACTACCTTCTTCATGCCTTGGAGGTCAGATCTGAAGATATAAGATTATAGGTAGGGACAAGTTGCCAAGAGGAAAGGGAAAAAAATGAGCTACTTATAGTTTGCTCAAACCTATCTAAAATGGAGATTTTGAATATCTTAGTCTCTTACTGGGAAGAGTAGTATAATCTTTGTGTGCTATATACCCATTTTTATATACCTCATAGAACCTGGAATTTGGAATCCATCCCAAGAGTTCCTAGAAAGCTGTGCATTCCTAAATACACCTACCATCCATGTCATGGTGCGGTGGAGAGTAATTTCCCTTATACTCAGTGGTCTATGCTACTAGCCTCTCGGTTTGGAAAGCTGACCGAGATGAGTAAACAAAAATACGTTTGTTTCACGAGACAAGAACGGAAGCAAGCCCTAGAAGAGAACAAGGAAGGAAAGTACGTACAGCTTTGCCAGAGATGTCGACAAACCACTGGGCATGCATGCCTGAAAACGTTAGATTTCTTACTTGATAGACTAAATACAACACACTGGCAGCTCACACTATATATGGGGAGAAGTATTCATTCTCTTTTAAGACATTCTTACAGCTTCCAAGACAAAAGAACCCCTTGGTGTCTGCACAGGTAGAATCTAGGGAAATGCTCAGCCTACAAAACAGCTTAAGGGTGGCGGAAGGTTGTTTACTCCACAGGGAAGAAGGCCAAATTGCTGTGGGAAATTGTGGGCTCATTTGCATTTTGCTAGCCCAGTGCTATCAGATTTCACACAAAGCATAAAAAAACAAATAGCCCACAGAAGTCTATGAATCAGCTTCCTGAAATGGAGATACACTGGAGATTCTTAGTATATTTAAGAGAAGATTAAAAATAGAAAATTATATGTGCATATGGAATGTAGAATAAATTAATGGCTTTAGCTACCACTCTTATTTAAAATATTGAGATTAAATCAGCCTTCCCCAGATTAGAGCATGAAGAAGACATTCATGAACAAGTACTTTACAGACATAATATGCCAGAGTTCGTTTGAGCACTGACTGAAGTGAACCATCATGCTAGAGAAGGGAAGACAAGAAGGAAAAGGTCCTCTGTTACTGTTTATCACCAGGGTAGTTGGGAGAGGGGCTGGGGGTGGAGAAGAAAGGAATTGAGGATAGGATAGGCTAGCTTGAGGTTATCCTGTCCTCAAGCTCCAGTGAGGACAGGATAACCTACTGAATGAGGCTTGATCTGCTGCCCTAATCTCTTCTCTGGTAGAAACTGCATGGGTGCCTTAAGAGACAGAGTAAACTTGCTGCCATTTTCATATCTTCACATTTCCAAGTAAGTTGTCAACTACACAAATTTCCCAAATGCTAAGTTTATATCACAGTGTCGATGAAGGGTCTTGGAACAAATAAGGCTACTGAACTGGCTTCCACGTTGACATGTTAATACTCTCTTGAATTTACTGCTTCTCAGCAAAGCATTGATCGGGGAGGATTTAGTGGATTACCCACTCCTTGGGAGGGGAAAGGAAGAACTATGAAACTAAAATTAAGTGCCTCTAACAAGGTGCCAACAACTGACAGGTGTGCAGAAAGACACAAAAGGAGCCTCTCAGTCACATACAGCTGTGTAACTGAGCCCAGTGTTGCCTGGATTCAATCACTCATGGACTTATAAATACCGTTATGGGAGTCTAAAGGAGACAGACCTGCTGAGGCCTGTTCCAAAAGGTGCCTTTAAGTGACTTCTGCACCAATAATAGATCAGGTTCCAAGCAGCCAGATTATCTCCTTCCATAGCTGGAAAATGGAAACTTATTTGCATTTTGGAAAGGTTAAACACTGGCCATTTGTTTCAAACACTGTTAAGTTTGTCCACACAGACTTGTTTCTCTTGTGTTGCAGATTTCTTTATGATAACAAAGTAGCTGACATGAATGAAAATTCACTTCTTTATTCAATCCACTCTGTGTTCCTGAGGTAAAAACCTAACCTATGAAGCGTGGTATTCATGGGCTTCTGGATGTTCCATACATTTATAAACTGCTTTTACGAGAGAACGAGAGAAAGGAAATTTTCATAGTCTAGCACTTCTTTCACTATACTACTTCTCTTTGTATGTGGCTTTTCCAAAAATAAACTGCTCAGAGCAATACTTGACTCCCTTGAATTCACACTCTAAAAATCGCCTGGTTTAGGCTGAAGTCTCAAGTGGGCAGTTAAGAGCTCTTACTTTGTCTACACTCATCAGCCCTCACAGCTGTTCAAATCCTTATGTGCTTAGGACTTCTATAACATTGGGTTTCATAATATGTCTGTTTTTTGTTGTCTTTGTGTGTGATTCAGGAACTAATTAATTTGTGGATTGCTGAATCTGCTAATGCTTTTTTTCCCCTTCCCCCTTTTGGTCATTTTTTTTTCTGATTAGAACAGGCAGGATCAAAGAAAAATGAAGCTCCAATCTAATGAGAGTTCTTGTTAGCAATTTTTAGACTATTTAAACTAATTTGTAAAATTGGATATTTGATATTTGCATCAGGTATTTGGGGGGGAAAAAGCTGTATTTTTCGCAGTTCTTCCTTCCCCTTAACATAGAAAGCCCCAAATTGGTTTTATCTTTGTTTGGCAAGGGTGCAGTACTACAAAAGAGATCAATTTAGAATGTCAGGCAATGAAGAGGTTCCCATGTCAACGTTACAGTCTGGTTACTGGAAAAGAGCCCGCAGGTCTGTACTGCTAATTCCCCTTTCTACACTGGCCATCTGCGTGCTGTTTGCTGTGCCAGTGTATGCAATGATCTGTGTCAGTGATACCAGGCAAGAAAGAAGCAGAAATAGAAATGAGAAAATATGATGTCCAAGAAAGCAAGAACAGAAGTAAAATGAAAATTCCTCCATACAAGTGGTATAATCTAGAGAGAGATGCGCAATCCCAGTCCAACAAGCAAATCTTTACTAAAAATACACTTACGTCTCTTTTGCTATGTCCAATCATGGTGTTGGAAGGACTATACCAATGACTTCTTCATGTTGCTGGAGGTTTCCAATACCACCAAAGAGTTTTATTCCTTCCTTTAGTTCTTCTGGGTTCTCCACCAGCAGCATAGGAGTTTATCATTTAGGGAAATGCCTTTCCTTTTAGTACTTATGAGAAAAGGAGGTGCCTAAGGGAGGCTGAGCAGGCGTGCAGCTTCTACTGTTCTTACCGGAAAGAAGAGGGGGTCAGAGACCAGCACCCAATCTGGCATTCAGTTCCTCAACGATGTTGCCAATTTGTTTCGGCTAGAACATTTAAAGATGGAAGAGCACCACTGGATTTCCTTATTCTACTTCCCAGATTTCAGACCTTCTCTCTTCATAGTTCCTAGGTAGTTGCAATGAATGTTTAAAGAGGTATCACAGACAACAACCAAAGATTCAAAAGGTAACTGTTGGGCAGCAGGTCCGTCACCTGTGACCCCTGGGCCTCGACCATCAACACATCATCCATTTCTTCTTGGCCACCTCTTCCCTTCACCACACCCCCTCCCATAAGTTGCCTCTTCTTGGGTTAAAACACCGTATAGCACACCTTCTCCTCACTTGACTATTGATACCTCACAGGCCTATGTTTTTAACTAACGTGTTTATATCATGCTTTCGTGTCATATATGATATACTTGTGTGCTCGATGATCATGCCAGTTACTCATGCAGGAATCTGAACTGCTATCTGCTGTGTCCTTGGATTTAATGCAGCTTGGCTAGGAAGAGAGGATGTTGTTGTAAGTTAAGGTTTCTCCGAGTCTGACTAGTAGGTCAGGTGTGAGTGTCTGGTTAAACGCAGAGTAGAAATACTGGCCACTGTCCCTCTAGTGCAGTCAGGGCTATGCTTAGAGCAGCCAGAAGTGCCCACTCTGCTAAGTGGTACCCCAACTACTACTTCTCCATGAAAAGTTTGGCGACACCTGTTGGAGTTAATACAATCTCAACTGCATTTTGGATGGACTGTTCTCAGGGCCTCCAGGTTGTTTTAGATGGCCCACCTTGAACACACTCTTGTGAACCTTTACCGAGCATGAAGTCAAGTTAGAAATGAGGGTGCTGTCACAATGCAGTCCACGTGTGGACGTGGGAAGGGTGTCCAGATACCTAATGCAGGATGCAAACTGGGAGAGAATAATGGGGATCCTGCCTAGTGTAGTGATACAGTATCACTACATTGGACTCACTAGGTTTCCCCAACAGAGGTGGGCAAACGCTGCTCTTTAGAAATAGGTATTTGACTGCCAAATTTCTAGTCTGTCCACTAGGATGAAATCCAACCTGGGCTGCATTTGTCTAACTCTCAAATTCAGTGTTTCCATTCATTATTCTTCAGCACTGGTTCCCTGAGAGCAATGTTTTTATAGGGTTATAAAGCCACAGTCCTGCTTCCCTCCAGTGATTTTCTTGTGAGCATCCTACGTAGAGACCTGAAGTGGGCTACAGGGACCCCACGGAGAGCCTCCTGCCGTTCTCTCCCATCAAGTCTTTAAGGAGCCATTATTAAGGATCTAGACTTCTGTTCTTCTCACTAAACTCAAAGTTGATTCCCAAGGCACGGGCAAAACAGGTGCTTTTTCTTTTGTATGATAATACTAGAAGGCCTGTCACAGAGCACAGGGTAGCTGTAAGTAGAATTTGTTTGAAATCGAGGAATTCCTTAGGTCGTCTTCACCATTAAGTGAAAATGAAGAGAAACAATCTAGGAAAGCAGTATGATAAGCTCGCTCACAAGCAACTTCTTTTAATCATGTAAGTTCTTACCTGCTCTGCTAGTTTGCTTGTCTCATCCTTCTATTTTTTGGGGAAAAAACCCAAACCATATTATTATATTCCTTTCCTCTGAACTGTTAGAAAAGGTGATTAGCACCTGCATGAATATGGCTTCATGACTTGATTTGATCCTGATTGTGCAACCTTGATTCCCCGAACGGGCATTCTATTAGACTATGGTGCTGCTTTAATTGGCCGAATCTATTATGGGGTCCCTGAGGGGGCTGATGACTAGCAGGCATGTCCTGGGTAGACACTCAGGCCCCTGGGAAGATGGGGGGGCAAGGGGCAGGCCACACGTGGCAGGCGGATGGGGAAGGGTTTTAAAGTTTCTGCTCATTAGACGGTCCTCCACCAATTGGAGGAGAAAACTTGGGCCTCTCTCCTTTCAAGGCTGAAACCTGATAGGCTTTGATCTTCATCTCAGTTCACCCCAAGGCTCCTCTCTTCTGTCCTCACAAGATAGACTAGAAGAGTGGTGGCTTAAGGAAGAAATGTTAGGAGAGAGGTCCAATTTGTTTTCCCTGTGACTCAGGAGGCAGTGGTCGCATGGGCTTCCAGGGTCAGAAAAAGCTGCCTGCGTAGGATATTCCACTCAAAGTTCAATATCAATGTAATCACCTTCTTCCCATTTTGATGTAAAGAACTCTTTTTCTGCCCTTAGTTTGTTTTTTTTTTGTTTGTTTGTTTGTTTTTTGACGTTAAAAAACCCCTGCTTCACCATACGTCACATGCCTGTCGGTCAAGGTCATGATAAAAGGGCTGCAAGTAGCATCTGCTCTCCTGTCTAGAAACTGCCTCCTGGGGTTGGTGGGAGAGGTCCAGCCACATCCGGTCCCAGAACACGGTGTACAGCTCAGCTGTAGGTTACCAAGGTGTTATCCACGCATAGATGATTTGAGGTGTGAGATGTGCTCTGAGTGATACTGGGTCACTTGTCCAAGCAGGTGCTTTGACCTCAAATCTGTCCCCACTCAGGTATCACAGTTTCTTCTGGGACAGAAGGGGTGGAGAATCCCTAGTGGTCCAGGAAACCCCAATGAACTGATATGAAAACAAAAGAATGGGTCTCACTAAATGGCTGATGCCAACTCCCTGTATCCTAATTTGTTCTCCAGGATGAAGTTTACGGCTATTTAACCCCCTCCTCCATCCATGTATAATTCCATTTTCTGTTCTGTTACATTAAAAAAAACAATGAAAAAATAACCGTTTTTCGAGTGTGGGAAATAAATAGTCTTGGACCTCTTAAAGTAGTTTTGGTAAGTTTCAACATTTTTGGCGAGAAGGGTGCCCAGGATCTTGCTGCAATAGGATCAAAATTAAGATCAATAATCAAACCAGCAGGATGTAAAGACCAAGGCTTGAACCTGCTCAAGGCAACTGTCACAAAACATCCTTTTCTTCTTCTGTCACAAGTTTATATACATCAGGTTTGGGTTAGAAAGCTTGAAATCTCTGCTTTTAAAAAAAAATTGGAAAATCTTGGTAATTCTTCTGGTCTCATAACAGAGCGAACTTTGGACCTCTAGAAGAAACAGTTAGCAAATACTTCTTCAGCAGTTTTTCATTGTTCCTATGGCTTAACAAGGGACTTCTTTAAGAAGGCACGGGGTGCTCAGAAAGAGATGAGCAAAATAAACATTTAGTGACATAGCTTTCGAGAACTTCTTGCAACACTGGTGTTACAAAGGATCATGCAGAGTACTACGTCTCACCGTCACTGTTCTCCTGTGTCTCTGTGTTAGTTGGTGCTCACACTGGCTTCCTTTTGACGCAGTCTTTCTTTCTGTTGTTTGAGAAAAAAATCGAGTTTAGTACAACTCCTTTTTAAAAATTTTCATCTTTCTGAAATTTTGGTACATTTCTCAAATGTCAGTCTAGAATGCCAAATAGAGTTGTACCAAATGCCCTAGAAATGAGAGGATTTCTATCCTTTTTCCTAGAAACCCTCAGTTTCCTACCCTTCCCACCCTATCACCTCACAAACACACAAAATAAGTAACCAGCTAATCAACCAACTATATCCATCTAAAACACCGGCCTTTACAATGCCAGGCTGTTCCGTTCTGTTCGCATCTTCTGTGACAAAGGTCCTAACTTCGTAGTGTTACTCAAAGACTCCTCCCATTAGGGAATGCTCAAGAAATAGTTTCTAGGAAGTCTAGATATGAAAAATCACTCTTTCCAAGTCAGGCATGTCTGCATGTGACCAACTTGGCAGGACTGAACAGAGGCTATGCAAAATGGAGGATGACGAGATTTAGTCTCTGCAGAATGGCAGAAGCTCCCATTTTGCCAAGGATACTCTGCTCCGTTCTTCCTGAGCTTCCTTCCCAGGGACAGCCTTCTAATGAGGAAGGACATGAAAGTCTGATGGCAAGATAAACAAGAGTACACAGAACAGAAACACAGACCCTCACTGTTTCTAGGACTTAGAAGTAAATATATTAAGCACAGTAAGACACATGGGTGTGTCTGGCCTTCAAGGTGGACAAATAGAAGGCTAAAAAAGAGACGGAACAAGTACAGTCCTTTGCAAAGAGCAGGTGCAGAGAGATGCCCTTTGAGAACAGGTCCTAAGCTTCTTGTGATCTAGGAGATGTGAAAATGCAGTGGATTACTAAATTGGCCTAGATGTAAACTTAAGATAATTTTTAAACACCCATCCTGTTTGGATACCATGCCTGACTTGTGAACTTGAATCAGGAATCAGTTTATGAGCTCTTCCCTAATTTCCACCAAAACAAACAGGCGACAGAACAAACCACCCCAAGGAGCAGAGGATCACAGCTGAGAGCGTACTCTCATGGAGGTCACCAATAAAAGAATGCCACGGTCCACCCACTGTTTCCCCTTTGTCTACAGGCCTGAGTCCATTCTCTCTGCCCCTGAAAATAAGGCTTGGCTGTAAAAGTTAGGATAGAGGCCCAAATAAGAGGCCTGGGGAAAAGGGCAGTGTCTAATGAGGGAGGAAGACAGAAATAAGAGTTGAACCCACTGCCAACAGAAGATCATGCACAAATGAGCACCACAAACGCATGGTCAAATGGGCACAGAGGATGTGTCCATTCAGGTAGGAGCTCTGTGAGCTAACCATGGCTGTCCCTGACCCAGCTGTATGGCCCTGACTTTCCCATTTCTCACTCATCGACTTCACTCAACATTCATTGAGCTGCTGATGGGGTTGTGATGAGAACATCATGGTCAGTCAATAGAAATGACCTCACTTTTAACTTATACCGCACTTAGATGGTCAAAGGATTTAAAGCAGCCGGCAAAAAAGCACTAGTGGAGAATAAAGAAGCAAAGTAACTTCACTAAGGTTTTACAATTAGTGAGTGGCTGATCTGGGATTTGAATCTCTACATCTAAATGGGTTCCTAACCCATTTAGCTTTTCCAGCTGGAACACAGAGATTCCTTGTGATCCTTACTGAAAATGGGACTGTGGAGGACGACAGTTTCCCCTCGCAGCTAGGAAGACAGACTAGCCTGCTTAGCTTCTAGCCCAGGGAGAGCTGTCGGGGGACCCAGAGTCTCGTTCTGGTTCTGGCTGTCCATTTGTGAAGTGATCCTAGGTAAGCTGTATCTTTCTGCATCTCAGTTTTACGAACTCTCGAAAGAGGATCATCCCTGCCCCTTTCCTTAACAGGGAGAAGGAATTGGTGAGGGTGAGAATACTTAAACATTTCAGGAGAGCAGTCCTTTGAGATGAGAGGGATCATGGCGCGGGGCGGGGTGCGGCGCGGAAGGGTGTGAAATGGCAAGTGACTACTTGAGCGCTCGAGGCAGTGTTTGTTCCTCACTCTGTCCTCCCTTATATTCTTTCTTACCCATATGCTACTCTGGGAGGGGAACTGAGAATCTGGATACTACTCATTCCTCTGAGTTTTATCCTTTAAATTCCGACCCACTACTGGCTGCGCCTCAGTTATAATGAAAAATCTTGAGGTTGTGAATGAAAAATGCATCTCACCAGACTAGCCGTGGGGTTAATTTTCTTTGTCTCCACTTTCTTCTCTGCTGTCAACTTGCTGACTGATTCCTGAGCCATTTTCAATCTGAAATGGAAACAGGGAGGGGGGAGGGGAGAGGAGGATAAGAAAGGAGAAGAAAAAAGGAAAGAAGAGAGAGGTCAGGTTAAACAGAAATCCAAATGCTGTTGAATTAGCCAATTAGCAGTTTGAAAATATGAGGAACGGTTTTCAGTGCTTTTCATTACTAAATTCAAACTTGGAGAAGGTGACTCTTCTGGGTCATCAAAGCTGAATTTCCTTCGCTGGCTGAGAGGCTCACCAAGATGTCTTTGGGGAAGTCTCTGCTTTTGCAACCAGTGCAGGAGGAGTTTCTGATCTACGGAAGACTAGGTGGATTCACTGTACTCTCAGGGCACACACTTCAAGGCTCTCTGGCTTGTGGTCCACTCAGTAGGTAAGATGAAGACAATTTTGAAAAGTGAAATTTTGGAGAAACATATGAAAACTACAAATATTAAAATTCACCAGTTCACATTAAGTGAAAAGACAACCCACACAGAATGGGAAAAATATCTGTAAATCATACGTCTGAGAAAGGACTTGCATTCAGAATACATGAGGGACTCTTACAACTCAAATAAAAAGACAAGTTACCCAATTTAAAAAACAGGCAAAGGATTTGACTAGACATTTCTCCAAAGACATACAAATGGCCCGTAAGCACATGAAAAGCTGCTCGACATCATCAGTCATCGGAGAAGTACAAAGCAAAACCACAATGAGATTATCACTCCACAGCCACTGGGATGGCTGGAATTGAAAAGAAAGACAGTAACAAGTGTTGGAGGTGAGGATGTGAAGAAGTTGGAATCCTCCTACATTGCTGATGGGTCTGGAGAATGGTCCAGTCACTTTGGAAAAGAGTTTGGCAGCTTTCCAAAATGTTAAACAAAGTTACCACGTGACCCAGCCATTCGACTGCTAGGTATATAAATATATGTGTACCCAAGAAAATGAAAATGTATGTCCAGACAAAAATTTATATGTAAATGTTTGTAGCAGCATCATTTATAACAGCCAAGAGTAGACACAGCCCAAATTTAGATTAGCTGCTAGATGGATAAACAAAATGTGGTGTATTAACACAATGGAATATTACTGAACCATAAAAAGGAATGAAGTGCTGATACACGCTACAACGTGGGTGAACCTCAGAAACATTAAGGTAAATGGAAGAAGCCAGCCAGTGACAAAAATCCACATGTTATGTGATTCCATTGATATGAAATCCACAGAGACAGAAAGTAGATTAGCAGTGCCAGGTGCCGAGGGGAGGGGAGAAGGGGTGTGACTGCTAAGGGGTGAGGGGTTTCTCCTAAAACTAGGTAGCAGTGATGGTTGCACATCCTTGTGAATATACCGAAAAACCACAGAATTGTACACCTTTAAAAGGGTACATTTTACAGTATGAATCATCTCAATAAAGCTGCTATAAAAATTCAGTTCCACAACATGATATTATTTCTTATCCAGCTCATCAATTCAACAAAGTAATATTTCTTATCCATCAGAGAGGCGAATCAAAGCCAGGCAATATCAGCTGTTACTGGGGACGTGAGGAAACGGGAAGTGCCGAACTGGGTAGGAGGGCCTGTAAGTTGGTACAGCTGGCTTTGGCAGCATCAACTGAAACTGAAAACATACATACCCTGTGAGCTGTCAATTCCTCTTCTAGGGAGATACCCCAAAGAAACTTACAATTAGACACATCTTTCACTGTGACAATATATGCAATAACGAAAAACTGAAAACCACCTAGTGATCAGATTCAATAGGATGACGGATAGCTGATAAGAGCAAACAGTAATAGCTAACATTTATTGGGTGCTTACTGCATGTCTGGTCCTGTTCTACCTGCTTTATTTGAATTCAACCATTTAATTCTCACAACAACCCTGTGAGATAGAAACTTTCACTACTTGTATTTTACAGGTCTTAAGCACCGTGCAATGATGCTTGTATATTATATTCATTTAATGGAATATGGTATAACTGTGAAAAGGAATAAACTAGATCTGAATTCACCAATTATGGATATCAGAAACATGATATTGAGAGAGTGATGAATTCTGCAGAGTGACAGAGTGAAGAGGCCATCTAGCCTGATGGTTAAGTGCTCGGCTCCAGAACCTGACTGAGATGAATTCTCAGCCCCACTACTTATGAGCTGTGTGACCCTGGGCAAGGGACCTCTCTGTGCACCTAAAAAAGAGGATAACAACAACAGTGTGGGCTACGCAGAGTCATTGAAAGGACTGAGAAAGTGCTGCTCTAGGCACTGTGTAATCACTCAACATGTGTTCACTACTATCGTTACTGTGTATGCAACATGCTACCTTGCATATATATTGGGGAGTAGTGCCCAAGAAACAGTGTTGTTCACAGATGCCTGCACAGTGTCTATGAACATACATGTAAACATCTATATTTATATGCAGACTGGAAAGATACTAGTTTCATGATAGAGGTTATCACTAGAAATACAGAAGAGAATGACATTGGGAGGTAGTATATCTACTAGAATTTCATTTCTATCTATAATACTTCATTTTTCAATTGTAAAATCTTAAAGAATATGTGGCAAAATGTTAACAATTCTAGGTGGTGGGAATATGGGTGTGTTAAATTATCCTTAATATGTTTCTTTATTTTAGAAATGTCTTCAAAAATATTTTTAGGGCTTCCCTGGTGGTGCAGTGGTTGAGAGTCCGCCTGCCGATTCAGGGGACACGGGTTCGTGCCCCGGTCCGGGAAGATCCCACATGCCGCGGAGCGGCTGGGCCCGTGAGCCATGGCCGCTGAGCCTGCGCGTCCGGAGCCTGTGTTCCGCAATGGGAGAGGCTGCAACGGTGAGAGGCCCGCGTACCGCCAAAAAAAAAAAATATATATATATATATATATATATTTTTTTTTTTTAAAAAATACCAAATATTTAAAGACCCACCAAATCACAGACATTAAAAAAAAAAGAACATGCTTTTTCTTCAGGGCCTCAAATACAAACCTTTCACTCAATATTAATCACATACTCACTTAATATTGAAGAAGTGGCTGAGTGCCTTAGCTCTTTACTTATCTAATTTTGCACAATTTGCTTGAAACACACGCTTCATAATCCAATCTCCCTGCCCACATGCACAAGTTAGTTCAGTGAATTCAACATGCTGACTTGTGCATCAGAAAAGAAGTAAAAGTGAGACAAAGACGAGCAATGATTTATAAAACCCAAGAAATACATCTGTGAAGCTGCCGTGAGAACGGGCACTTCTGGACAGGGGCATAGGTCTGAGCGTATACACCACACTACCTACTAAACATTTCTGCTTGCAGCAGTAACTGTGACTATACCCATACAAGAAAGGAATGCGCTAGAAGGTTCACAGCCAGGTCAGACTACATTGGAGACTGACTACTAAGGAATCTGCAAACCAAGATGATGGTGCTGTCAATGAGGCCACAGCTTGTAGCATCTACTCTTCTTGGCGTCTCTCCGGCAAGATTTGTTTTCAGAGAGAGCACTTATTAGTGACCCTTTAATCCACATTCCAATGGAATGGTTTGGAATTACTATTTCTCTCTGGGCTCCCTAACTTTTAGGGCACTTTTGGGAGTCATCTTTTGCTTAAGTAGTTCCTTTTCACCTTAGAATTCTGGTCTCTTCTTTCAGAGTTGGTCTTCTACCACACTCCTGGCTCAGCATCGCCTCCCCCAATTCCCAATTTCACTTCTCAGAAGCCCTGCGATCACTTCCCATGTTCTCTCAGTATCTGGGGGGATGGTGGTCGGGGATGTGGAGGCCGGGAGCCAACCTAAGGTCCTGTCCGCACTGCTAACCTTTTCCTACTGGTCAGTGGCTGTCCCTCAGACTACAGGCTGCCATGCATACCCCAGGCTTCCGGGGACAATTCTGATCTTGGTGACTCCATCCTGCTCGTCTCTAAATGTTCTCATTCAATTATGATGTCTCCCTCTCACAGGGCACTCTTGAAAAATCATCAAGGATTGGGAGAAAGCATAGCTTGGTGGCAAGTAGCTTCTGCATCAGCGAGGCTTGATTCTAACTCCAACTCTGCCAATTACTAGAAAACTTGGAGCAAGTTAATCAACTATCAGTTTCCTTATATATAAAATGGTAATGATATATATAGCACATATATATGTGTATATATATATATATATATATATATACACAATATTAACTCTGTGGTATTATTGTGAGGATTAAATTAATTAATATATCTAGTAAAACCTCTAGTATACATGGTATATAGCAAGTGGTCAATAAAGGATAACAATTATGGAACCTTCCATCACGGATATAAAGGATTACTCCTTAAGAATGCACAACAGTAGTTTCTGACTACAAATAAAACACATGGAGCTATTAGCTAAGTACTATGTTGTAGCAATACCATTTAGACGTGTCCTGAAGGCAAACCACATCAACGAATGCTATTACCCCGAGATTTAGCAAACCAAGGGAACTCAGCTCAATTTTTCTGATCTGAACACAGATTCTGAAAGTCATAACGAGAAGCTACACTTCGGTGCAGGCATGACATAAATTTTTCAAACAAATAAATACGAGAAACCATTTCAACTTCAAAAGGAAGATTCCATCTACTTCCTCCCATTTTTCCAGGTTCCTTGGAGGTATCATAAGTAAAATTTAAATTTCAAATAGTATAGAACTTCTGAATAAATATATATTTTTCATGTTAACCTTTTCTCATAACCAAAATAACACTTGTTCCTTATAGGAATATTATATATCTATACACAGGAAGATTATATTTTCAGTTTATATTATATATTTAAAAGTATAAAGAAAAAGTAAGACTCACTGGCCATTTAAATACTTCTCTGAGAATGTAGTTAAGACATAATGGGACCAGTTAACGAAAATTATCACATACAAACCTCTCAGCTAGACAGTAAGATACATGAGGGTAGGGATGGTGGCTATCATTTTTATTGGTGTGTTCCTAGCCCTTGATACAGTAGCCGGCACACATATACGTGCT